TATCCTTATAGAGGTTTTCTGTGGAGTTACATATTCTTTCATGTATATAAAACAGACAAATCAGTTTTCATGTGTTTTTTTTTTCCTTTTATGTAAATGGAACTATATTCTCTTTCTGTTTGTTTTCCCAACAATGTATCTTGGAAATCTTTCCATGGTCAGTCATTGATCTGCCATGTTCTTTTTAACTGCTCCACTGTAAGCTTTAATTGGCTTATCTAGTCCTTTATTTACAGATCTTTAGGTTTTATCCCCCTAATGTTGCAAGTTTTACAATATTACATTTAGCATCCTTAAAATTCTTTTTTCCAGTGTAGAATACATACAAAGATATGTCCATTTTTAATGTTACTAACTACTGTCAAATCACCCTTAAAGGAGATACACAAATTTAAACACCCTGAAGCAGCACATGAAGGTACCCATTTCTTCCCAATCTTACCAAAAGTAAATATTGCTATTGTGTAGTCAGCATCTAATGATCCTTAACTCCTGGCTTTCATGCTATCATTATTTCTATTAAATATCATGAAGAGTCTAGACAGTTCATGAAGTAAATATAGAAAGAAGATATTGGATTAGAAGAAAATGTATTTGGAAATACCATGTCTACATAAATAGAAAACATTAATTATTCAAGTTAGTGTATTTACACAATAGAGTACCACTCAGTTATTAAAAATATCAAAATTTTGTCATTTGTGATCACATGGATGCAACTGTAAGGTATTATGATGAGCAAAATAATTCAGAAGATGAAAAGCAAATACTAGATGATTTCACTCATATGTGAAATATAGAGAAACAAAACAAAGGAACAGACAAAACCTATAGACAAAATCAACATTTCCAGAAGGAAATGTTGGCAAGCATATGACTAAGAACTTCTCATCTTGTTTATAAACCAGCAAGAAAAATAAACCTGGTGTGTGTTAGCAGATGAAGAGGGAAGGTCCAGAAATCTACCTGCAAAGGCCTGTGATGAGAGGGTCAAAACATGGGTGGATTTAACTAAGTTTAGGTTGACCTGAGCTGAGATAGTAGAGTCAGGGTGAATCAAAGACAATGAAATAGCCACCAAATTCTATGTTCCTCCTTTAGCTGTTACTAGAAACTGATTGTCCATGGAGGAATACAATTCTCATCCAGGAAGTCCATATATCTTGTATTCTTGCTAATAACATGCAAAAAATGATGAAGCAATTTGACCCATGGTAGCAAATAACTTGATATGTTTCAATCCTCTATTATCCCTTGTGCAAAAGGGGGGCAAAAAGACTATGAGATCCTAAAGGGTGTTAAGTCAAGAAAATAGAAAAAGTCTGGGTTGCCCAATCACTACTTGGATGAACAGCCACCAACTAGGAATACATTGTGCATAGTTACATGAGCAAAATATAATTTTATTTTAGTTACCTGAAATTTCATGATGTCTTATTAAAGAAACTAGAGTTACTAAAACTAAAAATAGGGAGAGAGAAAAATAAGTCTGACGAGAGAAACCAATTTTATAAGTCCTTATAAGCATTATTAAGAATCTGGACTTCGTTGAAAGTGCAATGGAAAGACTTTGAAGTGTTTTAGGTGATTTAGTGTTATGCATTTAGAACGATCAATCTGATTGAATTATAGAAAATGGGTTAAAAGTATGAAGCGTAAGACAAGGAGATAAACTGGACTGTATTGCATCAATCCATTTTGATATTATATTGGATTACTTGAAGATGATGTTAGGATAAACAGAATTGAACAGATTCAGAGATATTTGAAGATAAGGCCCATCGGGGAAAAAAAGGTAAGACCCATTGATCGGCTGCTTTTGAAGGCAGAGAGAATAAGACTGGCTCTCAGAATTTTACCTCTAAAACTACAAGATTATACATACTATAAGAGGAGTTCATTCATAAATTTTTAAAAGCATTCATTATAAATCAAATACAGGGAAGATGATGAGTTGGATATTGTATATTAAGGATTTGAAATGGACATGCTTGGTAGGTATTTGGATACATAGTAGAGAGAAACCTGATACTTAAGTTATCTTAACTACTTTTTACATTTTCCCATAAGCAAATTATATTATTCCTATTAATGATACCAGGCAATAAAGGGCACTAAAACTGGCCAAGGACAGTATCCAAATAGTTTAGTGGTCGGGTGAGTTCTTCACTGGAGCACACACTTGCAAGACCACTCAGATTCAGGGAACAACAATAATAGGATGTATTTAACAAACAAGGGGAAGCAAAGAGTCACTGAAGCAAGTGGTCACCCGAAGCAGTGTCTACTGTTTTGAAATTCTAAATACAAACATCATCTAAGACAGCATCTTCCCACCACTGTGGGCCTGGAGCACTATGCAGATAATAGGCCAGAATTCAACTCAGAAAGGCAGCAGAAGACCAACAGAAGACACCAGAACTGCTGAGATGAACCAGCACAGTATCAGATAAACAACACTGAAACAGCAGCTGCAGCGGCCAAATAACCTGACAAAAGGCTCACACTCACAGCTCAGTGGCGCGCCCAGCTCCTGCACTCACAGCTCAGTGGGTGCCCAGCTCCTGCTCTTTGCCTTCCCCTATGGGCAGGCGGAAACAGCAACAAAGCTGGAAACAGTTTCAGTTCCTCGGCTACCTGCAAAGCCTCCGAGCTTTTCTTTGAGGTTGGCTCTGGAAACCTCTCCATGTCCTGCAGAGGCCTGAAATTGTCTTCTGGAAAATGGACATGGCAGGAGCAGAAATGGCTGACTGCACAAAGGCTGACATATGAAAACACTAAAATTTAAAAAAACGCTGAATCCCTGGGGTTGCTTCTGCAGGCCATTATATTTCCTATCAGAGTCTCCACCCCCACTGATACTTAAGCGATTTTCACCTGGGGCTATTCATCCTCACCAGAGCCACTCACCAGTGGGCTTACCTCAGCATTCAGCTTTAGCCCCAGGTTACACAAAGACTAGGGGACTTTTATTTAATGGATTGTCTAGGCAAGTCACTTATTTTTGCAGGTTTTGAGCAGGTGGCTAAAACAAGAGATAAGTGGAAGTAGTTTTAAATAAATGATGAGGTCTGGGAGCAGACTAGGGCCAGTTAAGAAATACACTAGTTGGGCCTCCCAGGTGGCACAGAGATTAAAGTCTCAGTGCTGTCAAGCTATTGCCAGCCACTGAGGCATGTGTTCAATCCCCAGCCAGGGAGCTAACTCACACATGGCATAGCAGACCCCCTCCTGTCTTGCCTACTGCTCCCCTCAGCAGTGTATTTCAGAAAACCTGCCTTTTTTCTCCCCACTCTGTCTCTGGTGAATCCTCTCAGGCCCCGCATCTCCCACCTACACCCTAGTTCTTGTATGCATAAACAAATGAAAATACATTTTCTTTTTAAAAGAAATGTACTAGGTAAGGTAGCTAGAGGAAACAGAAAACACATTTGGCAGTGATGTGTGCCTGTCTTAGCCTACCTTAACCAACATGTGGTTAGGCAGATCTTTGTTTTTATTTTCTTTGCAAAATGCCCTCAGTAATAACCATGAGGAGACTTTAGGGAGAAAAGCGTATTACTTACGGGACCTGGAACCTGCAAGGCACACCTGGGGTCACACAGTGAGGTGGGTGTGGGGAGGCAGAGAGAGAAAGAATCAGGTGTGATTGCCAATGGGATTCTACTTCTTATTGGAATAGAGGGTGGGAGCCTAGGGTTTCTTGGTTTCATTCTTTTTGATGAATTTATTTATTTAATTTTAATTACTTATGCATACAACAACTGGGGTGCAGGCCAGAGGTGTGGGGGGGGGGTCAGAGGATTCACCAGAGACAGCGTGGGGAGCAGAACAGGCAAACTGACTGAAATACACTGCTGAGGGGAGTAGCAGGCAAGACAGGAGAGGTCTGCTGTGCCATGTGGGTAGCTCCCTGGGGAGGGATAGAACTCAGGGGGTGACAGCCTGAGACTCAACATCCAGGCCACTGTGGAGGCCCTTTATTGATGAATTTAAAACAAGATAGTGAACATTTAAAGGGCAGGAAGAGATACAGCAGCTAAAATGGTCAGTTACTGAAAGCAACCAAGATCTCTAAGAAGAAAGAATGTGGGCTTGAGGGTAGCCTTGCTCTTTGTGTAGTACTGGGGCTGACTGTGTGTTTATTTGAGATAGCCATCTTTGAAGTGGATAGCTAAGCAATTAAAGTTTACATTGGCACTTACATTACAAAAAGAAAAACAGATGTTAGGTTGATACTACACAAGGAACAACTATTTATAGACATCTTAGTGGGATTAAATGAAGCATCCAGGGACTGGCAGCAGCAGAAATGACCGCTCAGCCTGAAAGGACAAGAGACAGAAATGAACAGTGAGACCTGGAGCAAGGGAGGGGGTTGCAAGATATTAAATAGTCCAGGACATAATTACCACCAGAATTTTCATGATGTGGCAGATAAGAGAAGTGGAAGAAATATCTCCATGTCTCTCTTCTCTCTCAACTCAGCCAGTTCTTGCAACACTCTCTAATTTCAATTAAAGCCTGAGGCTCAAAAGGGGCTACATAATGCAGTCCACAGGGGTCAGGCCAGCGGGCACAGGACAGAAAAGGGCCTGAAATAGAGCAAATGGAGAGAAAACAAGACAGCAAGAGAAGTGAATGGTGGATGATAAAGTGAGGACACTGATACAGTCCTCTCTCTCAAAAATATCGGGTATGATCAGGAAGAGGTAAGTTTATAGTCGAGAGAAAATATGTTAAGAAAGAAACCTTGGCAACATGGATGGAGCTGGAAGCGATAATGCTAAGTGAAGTATGTCAGAAGGAGAAAGATAAATACCAGATGGGGTTGCTAATATGTGGAATATAAATTAAGTCAAGCAAGAGTCAGATAAAGGCAAACTTAAAAACCAATCCTTGATAGTTGACTATAGAACTGAAGCACCAAGGAGGGGGTCAGGCAGTCAGGAAGGAGTAAAAACAGAGGGAAGAAGCACAGTGGTCTATGGTGGTGGACTATGGGTGAGTTGGTGGTGGGTGGACTATAGTGTCAATACCAAATACTACCTCCATTAAAAATAATTTAGGGGCGTCCCTGGTGGCGCAGGCAGTTGAGCACTGCAGGCGGTTGAGCGCCGCACTGTGAAGCTGTCTGCAGCCTTTGCAGCACGGGTTCCATCCCAGCTGGCCTGCGAGAATCCCACATGGCAAAGCAGACCTCTCCTGTCGAAGCAGACCTCTCCTGTCTTGCCCGCTGCTCTCCTCGGCAGTGTATTTCGTCAGTCTGCCTGTTCTGTTCCCTGCTCTGTCTCTGGGGAATCCTCTCACCCTCCTGCACATCTGGCCTGTACCTTAGTTCTTGTATAAAAATAAACAAATCTTTAAAATTAAAATAATTTAATCAATTAAATAACCAAAAATAAAGGGGGGGAAGCAACATATTTATTTATTTATTTTAAAAGATATATTTATTTATGCATACAAGAACTGGGGTACAGGCCAGAGGTATGAGGGGGTGAGAGGATTTACCAAAGACAGAGTGGGGAAAAGAACAGGCAGATTGACCAAAGTACACTGCTGAGGGGAGCAGCGGGCAAGTCAAGAGAGATCTGCTGCGCCATGTGAGTAAGCTCCCTGGCCGGGGATCAAACTTGTGCTGCAGTGGCTGCAGATAGTTTCTTCTTAGGTTGTGTGTCTTAACCCCTTGCACCACCAGGGAGGCCCGAAAGCAACATATTTAAAAACAGAAAATGGAAGGAACCTAGACTAAGGATAATAGCCCCTATGAGCTTATGAGCCCATATAAAGTTCTTCTACAAAATAAATAAATAGACAAATCTTAAAAAAAAAGACAATCTGAAATGTCCAGTTTTAGAAGGAGAGGATAATGTTAAAGGCCATTTTCTGTATTCCATCTTTACATAGGCCCACATAGTGGCTAATTATCTTCATTGCCCAACTATAGAAGTAGTCTAGCTTAAGGGTGTCTGGTTTGATTCACTTCTATGCAAATTATATGGCATAAAATCTCAATAACAAAGTTATTGCCTATTTGCCCCCATGTCCTAGATATATGGACTAATTTAAATTGTCCTGTCTTAAAAGAAGGCGAGAATGGAATGATATATCTAAATGCTCGTATTTCAAATATTTGGTTTTAGTTTGTGTTTTCCAACTTAAATTTGACCTTTAAAATGACATATATCTCATGACAAGAAGCTTGGGTAAATTTTTTTTTGAATCTATGTGCTTTACAAAAGCCACAATGAAATATGATGGAGAAATGAAACCAGCTAATGCCAACTGGGATGTGAAGCTAGTGTGAACAGTTACTTTACATTTCTGTATTGCAGTTGTATTTTCCACATTTTTAATAAATAATTCAACTTTTACATGGACCTAGCAGTGCACTAGAAATATGACAAAGAGCCACTCATGTCAGTGAAAAGAAAATTTCACTGATTATCTTGGTGTTTGTTGAATCAGTTTTTCAGAAACTGCTTATCATTTGCTTATACCATTCAAGGCATCATTATGGTGAGCTGCAATGAAATGATAAATAATTGTATCCTAGATTTTGTACATATCCTTAGATTTGTAGAATTGTATATTTAGATTTTTCTACCTATCAAATCACCCCAAAACTTACCAATGTAAAGCAACCATTTGTATTGCCTAATACAGCAGATGGGTTCTTTCTTTGATCTGAACTGGTACATCTGGGATCTTTGATCTGAACTAGTACAAAACTTACCGATGTAAAGCAACCATTTGTATTGCCTAATACAGCAGATGGGTTCTTTCTTTGATATGAACTAGTACATCTGGGTTCTTCAGAACTTTCAGGTGAGTCTGGAATCTACAAGATCAAGAATACCTCACTCACATATCTGGTAGTTGGCAGGGTGGCAGAAGAAGCTGGCTGTCAGTCATGGCACCTCAGTTCTCTCCACAGGCCTCTCTGGTGGCTGGAGTTAGCTGACAGCAGCCCTTAAGTGTTGATTGTTGAATTATCAGGAATTTTAAGGTAATCGCTAAACTGTGGTGGCTTATGGCTTGTGGTGGCCACTCCCCAAGGAAGTGGGGTCACCTGGATATTAATCCTTACCTGTGACAAGACCAAACAAAGACATGCAGATAGACATTTTTTAAAAATGGTTCATTTACAGGACCTTCTTGGTGGCATAGGGGTTAAGTCTCAGCACTATCATGGTATCACTGCTGAGGCCCTGGCCAGGGAGATAACCCACAGGGCGCAGTAGACCTCTCCTGTCTCATCTGTTGCTTCCCTTAGCAGTGTATTCCAGTAGATTGTCACCTCTGGCCTATAACCCAGTTCTTGTATGCATAAATAAGTAAAAATAAAAATCTTTAAAAAATTTTTTAAAAAAGATTCATTTACAAAGGAGGGAGAATGGAAGGGGGGAACATGGTAAGAGAGAGAGGAAGAGAGAGAAAGACTATAAATTGACTAACATGTGGTCAAATACGATCCCTCCAGCTAACCAGCAGTACAAGGCCACCAGTTATATACCAAGCATAGCTTGTTGATCCTGCCCCTACTTCCCCTGCTCAGGAAACCTGGCTTAGGCACCCTGGGACTTGGGGTCCAAGGTGACTGCATTTAACTGGGGATAGGGAACATGACACCTCTCCAAATCAGTCATAGTAAGAATATTTACACCATGGACATTGGGAATCCCCGACCTGCAATTCTTAAATATTTACAAGCATGCCATTGCTTCCAACAGACTGGCATGGGCTCATTCACATGTTACCCTCAGGATTTCAATAGTGGCAAGAAAAGGCAAAAACGTTTTTGTCCGATTATCCTATTGGACAAAACTCAAAGACAAATGACAAATGGTCAAGTCCAAAGGAACCAACCATTGATTCATACAATAGTTTTGTGAGTATCAAAGGCATTATTTTGGGTAAAAATAAATAGCCAGTATAAAGAGAAAACTCATTGTATGATCCCATTTTTATGACATTCTCAAAAAGACAAAGCTGAATAGAAATTCTTAACAATAAAAATAAACACCTCATGGTCACTTATATAGTCATTCAATGACTCAGTACTATTACTGAATCACCTGCCATTGCCTATGTTTTGTACCAGGTCTGGGCATACACCAATGACGCTGAGAGATTCTGTTTTTACCACATGGAGACTATAGTTTTGGGTAGAGAGAAGGGAAGGAGAAAGAAACAATATGTAAATGAAATAATTAAAAAGTCAAATTGCAATGAGTGTTATGAAGGAAGCAATAATGTCATGAGATGAAAATTAAAAATGAGGAATATGTAAAGATCACACTAGATGAATTAAAATCACTCTGGATGAAGTAATGAATGAATTAAATAACAGAAGTTTGGAGACCAGCTTTTGTAACAGTTAAGGGAAAATAATGAAGATTTAGAAAGGAAAGTTAAAATGGAAATAATTTGGTAAATTGGAAATGTTTTAGAGGCAGGCCAGGCAGATTTGAAGATTGGAGTGAGATCAAAAGGAACTAACTTTCTGGCTGAGACCACTGGGTCACTAGAAATGTCATTACTTTGGAAGAAGTAGATAAAGGGAGGAATAGATTCAGAATCACAAGAAATCCCAAGACTATAGACTCCACATGGGCAAGAACTGAATCTCTCAGGATTGCTACTGTATCACCAGGACCTGGCACAGAACCTAGCAAATGGTAGATGATTATGGAATAGTACTGATTCAGTGAATGAATACATAAATAACCATGAGGTGGTACTGTTTAGTGTAGGAATGGCGCATATTAAAGAGATCCCCAAAAACAAATGTTGGAGAGGATGCAGAGAAAAAGGAATGCTATAACATTATTAGTGGGAATATAAACTGGTACAGTTATTTTGAAAGTGATCTCGATTTATCTTAAAAAAATGAAAATACCTTATGACCTAGCAATCCTGCTTTTGAGCTTCTATCATATGAAACCATCAAATCAAGAAATTATATGCTTTACAATGTTGATTGCAGCATTATTCTCAAAAGCTTGGTTATAGAAACAATTTGAGTGTCCACTGATAGAAGACATACTGTGTTTCAAAAGTTAACCATTTTTGGGTCTCACTGGTGGCGCAAGGGGTTAAGCACCGCACTATGAAGCGATCCGCAGCCTCTGCAGCAGGAGTTCGATCCCTGGCTGGCCAGAGAGCAACCTATCACTGCTCCCCTCAGCAGTGTATTGCAGTCAGCCTGCCTGTTCTGTTCCCCACTCTGTCACTGGTGAATCCTCTCACTGGCCCCCACCCCAACCTGCCGCATCTCTGGCTTGTACCAGCTCATGTATGCATAAATATATATTTTTTAAAGTTAACCATTCAATCTGAAGGGCTGGGGGGGAGGCAAATATTGTTTAAAAAATTAAAAAAAATGATGTTAAAATAAAAAAAAGTTAACCATTTTCCTATGTCACCTGAAAACTTTTTCGGTCCTTCTCTCAGTTATCTTTACACAACATCTGAAGCAAGTTGTGTCTATATTGAAGCAATTCTATCCACTTACGATTAATAAATTCTGAAGTATTGAGCAGAAATACTCAATACTCAAAATGGATTTTTATTTTTATCAGGATGTGGTCCTAAAATACTAATAATCTGCGAACACCTGACTTCAGAATCCATAAGAAAAGCAGAGTGTGGAACACAGTAAATTATTTAGCTGGGTTGGTATATCCCATCAACTTTGATCCCCCTGTGGAGCAAAGTAAATTTCCAACTTTGGTTCCAAAGATCGCACATTCCAGGGAATAGTGAAGTCTTTGTGTAGCTTAATACAGCAGGAAATTAAACTGGAGATCTAGGTTATTATATTAGTATATTTACTACTTCTTTGAAATCTGCTTATCAATTTAGAATATCTCTCTCTCAAGAGAAAGGGAGTTAAGGACACAATTGTTTTCACTTCTGAAATAGGCAAAGTTTACAGGAAATACAAAAATGAACACACATATTTGGAAATTTGGCAAATTCAGTTCTGTCATTTTCCTTCC